TATGACAACGCCCCTGCTTTGGTCTGCTTTGCAACATACAATAAAAGAAAATGAAGAAATGAAAGAAATGTTAAAAGAAATGAAAAAGTCTATAACATATTTGAAAAGTGAACTAACGAAATTAAAAAATAAGTCTAATTAATGATTAAGTTATTTAATGATAAAATTGAAAAGAAAATGAGAATTAAAATATTTAGTTTAACAAAGAACTATACAAGGAAACTATTAATATTATATTTCAGTTTTTATAATTGGAGAGAAATAGCAAGGATTAAAGTTAAAACAGAAAAAATATTAAATGAATTAGGAATAATATAAGTCATATTATATGGGAAGTAAGAGAGAGAGAGAGAGAGAGAGAGAGAGAGAGAGAGAGAGAGAGAGAGAGAGAGAGAGAGAGAGAGAGAGAGAGAGAGAGAGAGAGAGAGAGAGAGAGAGAGAGAGAGGAGAGAGGAGAGAGAGACAGAGAGAGAGGAGAGAGAGACAGAGAGAGAGGAGAGAGAGACAGAGAGAGACAGAGAGAGACAGAGAGAGAGAGAGAGAGAGAGAGAGAGAGAGAGAGAGAGAGAGAGAGAGAGAGAGAGAGAGAGAGAGGAGAGAGAGAGAGAGAGAGAGAGAGAGAGAGAGAGAGAGAGAGAGAGAGAGAGAGAGAGAGAGAGAGAGAGAGAGAGAGAGAGAGAGAGAGAGAGAGAAATCGACTCCTGGCAAGGAGACGGGCACCCGCGTTGTCTCCGCCCCGAAGGGTTAAGACGCAAACGGGGCATGGGGCTCCGCAAGCGTCATGGCCCCATGCGAAGCAGAGCAAACGCAGAAGCAGCAGCAGCAGGAAGATGACGGAAGTGTGAAATCAACAGTATGCGATCCGAAAGCCGTGGTTTGATGATTTGCAACAAATCAGGACATCCTCAACACACGGTGCTAGGAGGTAAGCGGCGGGAGGCCTGAGGAGATGGGCCTTGCTGAGCATCATGCTGCTTCCGGCTGTTTAACAGGGGTGTCAGGAGTAACCCTCCAGCAGGGATGTAGCCTGACGCAACTGTGATCGACCATCTTATAACCGATGACAACAAGGTATAGCCCGAGCCAACGGGCACCACCACTTCCACCTGGAATTGTCCGATATCGCAATGGAGAGTCGCCATGCTGACCTCCACGTGTGAGATGAACTGGTAGTCGGCGAGTGGGGAGCACCATTGCTGCGACCCGGTTGTGGGAGAGGGGAGCACCATTGCTACGACCCAGGTGAGCGGGAGGGCGGGTGGGTGATTGCAATGCGGGGAGCACCATCGCTACGACCCGAAATACAGCAAACGGGGAGCACCATTGCTACCACCCGTGGAAGGGGGGAGAGGGGGTGGGGCGGATTAAGTCAGGCCGTACCATACCGCGAGGAATGTGCAACTTGGTGTCTTCCAATAACTCAGCCGTGTCCTTCCCTCCCAAGGTACTTGTATGATGTTATCAAAGCTCCGTCCGTGTGATTCAGCATCCGATCGCCCCGGTATGACCGACTTCGTGCGGCCGTTTGTTTCCAAGGGCGTATCGAAGACTTCATGCAGCGAGTCGTCGGTAGCTCTTTTCCCTCGCTGCCGCTCAGCCTAGATGGGACTGCACAAGAATGTCCAATCTCACCTGTTGGCACTGCTCCCAAGACGCACACTCTCAACAGACATACGTAAGGAACCAGGGCCTTTTCATTCGACTATACCGGGGCAGCATCATGACCACCTGAGAGTAATCAATCATGGCCTTCCTGAGAGTAAAGCATGCTGCATGTAAATGTACGGCACTTTCGCCCTAGTGCAACTGGATGGGGGAAAGGGGGGGTGCTCGTCGAGTCGCCAACGACTCTTAGTGCCGCCCCGGGGGTCCACACCCTTTCCAGCACCAGCCCACCCAGCAAAGACAAGCACTAGGCCCCGGGGATCATATACAATATTATTTCTGAAGAGGAGGCACATGATTGTATGATTGTGACGACACGACATGTTTATAAACAAACCAGGTGTTTATAAACAGACCTCGTGTTGCACAACAACTCATACTTGATGTTATAAACCATCCAAAGCAACAACATACACGTACACACGCACAAAACTAGTACACAGTTCAGAGAACCTCACGTGCAATCACTCGAAACATACAAAACCACTCGAAACACACAAAATCACTAAAAATAGTGGGTTGCCAAAACGCAGGCCCCACAGCCTCCTCTTCTGTATGTATATATGTATATATGTATATATGTATATATGTATATATGTATATATGTATATATGTATGTATGTATATATGTATATATGTATATATGCACATATGTATATATGTATATATGTAAACATGTATATATGTATATATCTATATATGTATATATGTATAGATGCATATATGCAAATATGTATATATGTATATATCTATATATGTATATATGTATATATGTATATATGTATATATGTATATATGTATATATGTATATATGTATATATGTATATATGTATATATGTATATATGTATATATGTATATATGTATATATGTATATATGTATATGTATATATATATGTATATATGTATATATGTATATATGTCTATATGTTTATATGTATGTATGTATATAGAAAACAAACCACCAAACCAATAAATTGAGGGGTTCGTTTTCTTGAAAACGAAGGGGCTCGATTTCTTATTTTGGTGTGTTCTGGGCTTGCCTATTAAGGGCTCAATAAGACCTAAGTCCAGCTTGGGAGGGCTCTGCCATATCGGAAAAGAAACCACCAAAATAAGAAATTGAGCGGCTCGTTTCATAAATAGGAAAACGAAAAGCTCGATGTCTTGTTTTAGTTGGTTCTGGGCTTGCCTAAGAAGGGCTTACTGAGGCTTTACTAACAGCTTTGGAGGGCTCTAGAGGCTTTGTACGGGCTTGATACAGGCTGAAATAAGGCTTTGCCATATAGGAAAAGAAACCACCAAAATAAGACATTGAGGGGCCCGTTTTCTTAAATTTGAGAAAACGAGGGGCTCGATTTCTTGTTTTAGTGGGTTCTGGGCTTGCCGAATAAGGGCTTAGTAAGGCCTTAATAACAGCTTTGGAGGGCTCTGGAGGCTTTGTCAGGGCTTAATAAGAGCTGAAATAAGGCTTTGCCATATAGAAAAAGAAACCACCAAAATAAGACATTGAGGGGCTCGTTTTCTTAAATTTAAGAAACGAGGGTCTCGATTTCTTATTCTGGGGGGTTCTGGTAAGGCTGCTTACAAGCTGGGTAAAAAGTTTGATCAATACAGTGGGGTTTCAGGAGTCTGGCGGCTGCCACGCCCGAGTGGATAAGCACATGAGCTGGAATGGATAGTGCTGCGGGCTCGAATCCTGCTATGCTCTCATTTCTTCTTTTCGTTTTTTTTATTGGCTGCCGTTGCAAATTAGGAAATTTGGGTTAAGAGATCCAGGGTACCCTCAAATAAGAAATCGACCCCCCCCCCTCAGGAAGAAAAAACTCTTTCTTAACCGGCGCTGTCGCTGTACTCACAACCCCACGTATTATAACTACCCATGAAACCTCCAAGTAGGTAAACCTATATATACCCTCATAGAATCCCTACAGATCCCTTTAAAGGGACCCTTAAAGGAACAACTACCTAAACCTATATCCGTATCGTATCCCTATAGATCCTTTAAAAGGGGCCCTTAAAGGAACCCTTACAACTACCCATGAACCTCCAAGTAGACTCTGCGGCTCCTCGGGGAGAAGCCTCCAAGAAGGGGCCTTTGGCCCCCGGAGGTACAAAGGCGCCTGAGACGTCGGGATTCGGGATTTGGGCTTCGGGCTTCGGGCTTCGGGTTCTGGGTTCTGGGTTTCGGTTTAGGGTTACGGTTTAGGGTTTAGGGTTTAGGGGTTTAGGGTTTAGGGTTTGGGGTTTAGGGTTTAGGGTTTGGGGTTTAGGGTTTCGGGTCTAGGGTTCGGGGCCCGAGGCTTCGGTCTGAGGTTCACGGCTTGGGGTTGTTTCAGGATTCGGGCTTTGTAGGATTTTGTAGAAGTGTTAGATGCAGTGCTTGGGGTCTTTGAGATCTTGGGTCTCACGTGGTTTAGGGCCGTATGTCTCGGTGTAGCGATGTGGGGCGTCAGGTCCTTCGTGAAGATGAGGAGTCGAAGGAGCATCTGTCCAACAAGCATGGCAGGACCGGGCACGCCTAATACAGAAGCCAAAATGCTTGAACTTGGGTTTTTGTGGGTGGGTTTTGCGCGATCTATACGGCGCTCTACTTGGCGTAGCTTTCATTATAGTGTATATCCTAAACCCTAAGCCCTATTTCGAAATTGTTTTCTATATATCTATATATATATATATATATATATATATATATATATTATGTATATATATATATATTATGTATATATATATAAGGAAACAGTGTGTGTATATACACACACATACATACATATATGTGTACTTATATACCTACATATGTATATGTATATGTACTTATATACATACATTCATACATACATACATATATATATATATATGTACTTATATACATATATATATAGATACAGATATATGTAAAATATATAGTTGTATGTATATATCATATTCTGACACCTGAAACCAAAGCCTAACAGCCAAAGGGCACCCAAGGCCTCACCAGACTGGGGATCCGGGTAGGGGCTCAAGGGTTCAAGGAACTCAGGGGTTTCAAGCTTGAGGGTTTCGGGGTTTAGGGCTCCTTTAAGGGATCTATAGGGTTCCTTAAACGGGCCTATAAGGCATTTATAGTGGGGTTTCAGGGTTTAGGGGTTTATGGAAGTTTAGGGGCTGTATAGCTCAAGAATGCATCACCCTTCGAACCAGGATGATGATGCCATCAAGCCTAGCCGTACTTCCACTGTATAAAGGGCATAAGCCTGCTTGCAAACTCCTGACTCAGAAGACGCGATTGTAGACTCCAAGTTCCGGAAACCCGACCGATAGAACCTTAGGACAACATGCGCCGGCGCTTCGCGGCTTAGCTCGGCGCCAGCAAATCTGACGACTCCAGACTTGCTCTCCGCTCGGGCTGCATGCCTGTAGCTAGCCCGGGGGCGGGGTGCAAGGGTTTGTCAGAGGAATCCTTTTCTGCTGTATCATATGGATACAAACCAGTAGCGAGTAGGAGCACCGAATGGTCAGCTCTCAAATGCAGCTATCTTCGCACAGCGCTTAGCAAAAACAAGGCCTTGAAGAAGCGGCACCGCCCAGCTGCACTGCCCCAGGAAACCTATGTCTGAGCTGAGATCCATACCTATTGAACAGCGGGACATGCCGAGGGGGGAGAAAATCTCGTCCTCCACGAACTTCTCGTAGGCACGATGCTCGGGATCGGCAGCTGCAACAACACCGGACATTACCTGGGATCACATCTTGCCTTGTCGGCACTGACAGCTGGATGCATAACGAAGGCTGAGATGTAGTATACCATAGCTTATTATCGCAAAAACTGTTCTAATATGTTAGAGTAGTGCCTTCACCCCAAATCCTTGAGCCTTGCTAGAAGTGTGGCACTACGCCCCCGTGCATGACTCGAACAGCCTCGAAGCCTTTATTAATGCCCCTAAGACCTACAACCCGAAAACCCTGAAGCCAATCTAAATCCTAAAGCCCTCAGTCCCAAGCCAGAACACCTTAAACCTTTCTCCTCCCGGTGGCATACCATGCTGGGCTGTCGTAAGCGCATCGTCGGCCGAGCTGCCAGCCTTCGGCAGCGGGCTGGTCGCAGATGTGTCGAAGCACCTGCTAACCAGTGGTTTTGGGGTTCCCTTGGCTCTTTAGCTCCTTATGTAATAGGGATTATCATCATCCCAGGCTCCTTAGCTCCTCCAATGGTTAGCCTGGGAGACGGCTTTGACCACCATTATCCACCATATAAAGGGGCCTAAAGACAGACTCTCAGATATCGGATCTTTATTAAAGTATACACCATGGTAGCTCACGATCGAGAGGCCCAACTATAGACTGACAGTTATCGGATCCTTGTAGTATAAGGACCCAGGACAAGCACGCCCCCAAACCGTAAATGCTCCAAGGTTAACCGATCTCATCCTCCGCTAAGCTCAACGGCCTCGTCCTAGTATATAGGTCAGCTATATAGAGTACATAGTGCAGTTTATGTAGTCTGCCTCGTCCGGGGAGGCGTCCTCACGAAGTCGTGGCTGGCCCTCCATCATCGAAGCGAAAAGCCCCGCAGTGTGGGTCAAGCAGTGGCCTGGGACACACAAGAGTTGAAACTACTTGAAATGTACGGCCTCCTAAATTTGAACAAGATTTGTGTAAATTACACGCAAATTAACAATCAGGAACCCCAAAATAGCATTGGAAATTGTTAAGCTCCTACATCACACACGGTGGTCTCAGAAAGCAAACACGAACACTGGTATTTTACGACGAACACCCACGTCGTGGCACCCTTGCCGCTCCGAATCTCCTCCCCCAGTGCTGCGAAGTGGCGAAGTGTGATGTCAGCCTTCCCTTCCTGCAAGACAGGTACCACTAGCTTGTAGAGAGGGCAAGGTCAAGGAGTTATGTTACTACAAAAACCCTAAACCCTAAACCCTAAACCCTAAACCCTGTTCCTGAGCTTGCTATCATCGTAACCCTTACCTTACTGACTACAGATCTCTTTACAGGAACCCAACAGGAGCCCTCGTTGATTACAGATCCCTTTATAAAAGAACCGCATGGGAGCCACTACAGTGAAGCCCCTCCTTCCCGAAAGCCGGCAGGTGCTTTGCCACGGGATCCTCGAAGCTGAGCCGCCCGCGCTCCTCAGCGCAGCACTTTGGAATTCCGGGCTTAGGGTTTAGGGATAAGGGTTTAGGGATTAGGGTTTAGGGATAAGGGTTTAGGGATTCGGTAGGGGGCAGGGTTTGAGGTTTGGGGCTTAGGGCGGGAGGGTGAACGTCTGTAAGGCGTTTAAGGGCTTAGGGCTTCTTGGGGTCGGTTGATACTTCATGATGAGAGATGCTTGGGGTGTACAGTCGTAGCTAAGAGTTTCGGGTTGGAGGACTCAGGGTTTGCGGTTGAAGTTCAGGGCTTGGCGAAGCTGATTTATCGGCGCAGAGAGAGAGCGCAACCATCAGTTTACGACCCGAAGCGTAGCTGACCGGGCGCATGATGTCCGCCACAGCCCTTAACTGTTTCACCGACACAGCCAAAGGCTTCAACAGCCGAAACCCATGGGCCGCAGTCTGATGGCGGTCAGCTGAGGCAGCTGTCGCTGCTGCTCAGGCAGTTTCCCACTAACATCTTTCTAGTACCTCATCCTCATCCTTACCAGCATCAGCATCAGCAGCAGAATCGTCACCACCATCATCATCGTCATCGTCATCGTCATCATAATCATCATCATCATGATTGTCGACGTCGTCATCATATACAAAGAAATCCTCGCCCTTGTTGTCGTCATCATCATCGCAACCACCAGTCATTCCAGAGTCGTCCTATCAGCACCAACATCACGAGTACTAGCCGTCCGATGAGCAAAGGGATACATGCGATGACGGCGATGATGGCGATTCTGATGCGGAGGTCTCAAATTGTGCGGATTGCACCACAGTTGGATGGAAGTAGGAAGCAGGAGTGCCTGGTTGCTATCACATGCGGCGAATCCTGACCATGCTGACTTGACCTCACTTCCAACCTCAAGCTGCCGGACCATCCAGTAGTCTCAACTCCCTGGCTTCAGCCTTCCAGGCCTAAACCTCGAAACACTGCATCCTAAACTCAAGGCCCTTCCTGGAGCGGACCCTTCCTAAATCCCTTGAGCCCGACAGTCCCTCAAGCCCAGACTTCAGGGGTTTAGGGTTTAGGGCCCTCAAGACCCCCCCCAAGCTCCCCCCCCCCCCGCGCGCCTGGAGCAAGCCGAGGGCTATGGCCATCAGGGGCTTCACCGAGGAGCTCCAGCAGAGCACGGCCTCCTCCGCCAAAGGCCGTCCTTCGGAAGCCTGGTGGAGGAGGCAGAAGAGAGGAGGTTCATGGGTAGGGTTTCCTTTGAAGGTTCCGATAAGATAGCGCAGTATACCATAGTAGGGTCTAGTGTGCTCTAGTATAGTCTAGTATAGTCTAGTATATGAGTAAGTCTAGTACACTATGGTATAATCCAGCGTATTCGTGTTAACGAATCTCATACAATAGTCGAGTCTAGCATAGTATTGTATAGTACATAGTATGAGAGAATATAGCAGACACAGAGAAGTCGCAGAAGAGTCGTCGTCGTATCGGCAGTAGCTGTAGTTGTAGTCAGAGAAGGGAGAAGAACAGGACGATGATTCTCATCATCGTCATCACCACCACTATCATCATCATGGCACAATAGTCGAAGCAATCATGATAATTGCTGACTTCAGCTCGCAGAATGCAGCAATGGGGAGGGAGGGAGAGAGAGAGAGAGAGAGAGAGAGAGAGAGAGAGAGAGAGAGAGAGAGAGAGGGAGAGATCTTCTGCAAAGGGAAGGCAAGATGACGATGACTATGACCTACAGCTTGCGAGCAGACAAGTTTGATAGCAAGCACCACCAAAGCCAGGATCATCGCAGTCATCATGACCAGCAATATATACCGTTTACCGCACGGTCACCATGATGACCAGATCACCACTGCCGTCAGCACGGGCATCGGCCGTCGCGGCCACCATCACCAGCCCGACCATCACCGCCCCCACTACCAACAAACAGCACAATGACCACCACCACGGTACAAACAACCACTACCGTCACTACTTCGACACAAACACTGCCACTGTCGCCACAGCCACAACGACAGTCAGGCAGTGCAGTCTGAACAGTCGTGATGAAAAGGATGTTCTCGAAGCAAAGCAGCAGGGCCTCGCCTCGCCAACACACAAGGATGTTGCCTCCCCACGGAAGATCACGGCCAGCTGGGCACCATAGTGCAGACCCTTCGCTTGTTGCTTTCAGGTTTAGTCGGAGTCTCTCGCGGCTCCCTCTCTGCACCCCTCGCATGACCACTCTATCAGCCCAGAACCCTGCGGATCGGAGGTGTAGGATGGCGAAGGGTACCACGGTGTCGAGCTGAGGATTTTCGGGGTCTTATAGAAAGGAACCCCCCGAAACCCTGTTCGAATTGTTAAGGCCCCTATACAGGGCCTCCTCCACCCCACGTTGAAGTGCTGCTCTTGCCAAAGGCAGCTCCATCAAAAGCGCATTGCCGACAGGGCCGGCGAGATGACCCGGAAGATTAATATAGGGGCTACATGAATACTAACACTATTTTGGGGGGATCCGTATTGTAAACATACGCAAACATAGTACTAAGGGCCCCAAAGCCCGTTCTGGTTATTAAGGCGCCTATGCTAAACCCCATCATACCCCATATAGCCACTGCACAGCAGCCCTTGGTCTTTGAAAGCTAGTTGAACCCGAACCCAAAACCCTGAACAGGGATCGTTTCAAAAGTTCTGTCCGAACAAGTGGCGTAGGCGGTAACCTTGGCCTCCAACCGAGTACGACTAGTTTACAGGACACCCTGAGGCAGAATGCTAAACCCCGTAGGTTTAGGGCTTTAGCGTTTTAGGTTTTGGTGAGATGCCGCAGGCCAAAGATGAGCTACTGACCTCTCTCTGATGCTGACTGCACTTGGGCCAGACAGGGCGGCTGCACCGATGAAGGAGCTCAGAGACGCGCCGGAGTGGGCTTGAAGAAGCCCAAAGGTTCGGGCGGGTGTTGGTTCTTGAGGGTTTCGGTTTAGGCTTTAGTGATAGCGTTTAGGGTTTAGGGGACCCCTTTTAAAGGAACCCTTAAAGTAACCTGGACTTTGAAGTAACCAGGCAGAGAAAAGTATAGACTTTTATTCCACAATGGTTCCTTTTGAGTAGCAGGTCCCCTAAAAGGTACTAAAGTATGGTATTCCAAAGCCCTGTAACCTTTACAGGCCCCTTTAAAGGGAGCCCTACTCTAATTACTACGGCCCTACATCATAGAACCCTATTATAGATCCCTTATAGTGACCCCTTTTTTCGGAACCCTTATAGTAACCCTTACAGGCCCCCTTTAAAAGGAACCCTTATAGTAACCCTTACAGGCCCCCTTTAAAGGAACCCTTACAGTAACCCTTACAGGCCCCCTTTGAAGGAACCCTTGTAGTAACCCTTACAGGCCCCCTTTAAAGGGAGCCCTCTTAGCGTCAGGAGTCCGTGGCCTGGCCCTCGTCCTTCAAAGCTCCCGGCGCTTCAGAGCGTCGGCAGGTCGGAGGGCTAGGCTCACTCCAGCAACTTCCTGCTTTGGGGATTCGGGTTTGGGGTTTAGATTTTAGAGGTTTAGGGGTTTAGGGGTTCAGGGGCTTAGGGCTGAAGGTTTGAAGTGTCTGGTACTTAGTAATGAATGGGGGAGTGGATCCCTAGAGTAGTCCCTATATAATCCTCAATCATAGACTCCATAATCCATTCCCCCGTTCCCTACTAAGAACCAGACAGAATTTGGAGGCTTTAGGGTTCCGCGTTTAGGTTGAGGAGCCTAGAAAGGAAACGGGCGGCTCAGGACTTGGATTCTGGGGTTCAGGATGCTGTTTCTTTTGACTGCTTAGGGCTTCCGTTTTTTCGACCGGTGTTGTCAGGCCTATCTTTCGCAAAAAAAGGTCTCTTGAAACTTTACATTGCAAGGGGCTTACAAGGAATATGCACTTGGCAAGGTGCAGAACGGTTTTAGGGCAAACGCTGCCTGGTGCATAAGTTAACCACGCGGTGGGGAAATTGCCCTCACCAAGAGAAGGTCATGGCAAGTTGATGCAGGGGCTAGTTCGAGATCCTGTCGTTTGGGAAAGCACTGGAATTAGGGCCTCCTACTAGTTCGTCTTGGTGCTGCAAAGACACAACCGTAATACCCTGAGACCCCATAAACTCTAGAACCCCAATACCCAAACCTGAAAACCCTACTATACCCCAAAAGCGATGACTCTAATATTAATACCCCAAGCACTTAGCGCTAAGACCTTCATACCAATAAAAGCCACGAAACCGTCCCCAAGGCCTAAGCGGAGCCCCGGAGTCCAGACATAGGCTGAAGGTTTTTGAGTCTTTGATTTAGGGTAATGTAGGAACCTGATTTAGAAACCTTGGGCCTTTATTGTTGGGTTCCTTATATGAATCCTACTGTGTTGGGGTTATAGTAGGCCCAGGGTTTCTTCATCAGGTTCCTACAATAGAGGGCCTTAACGATGAGCCACGGTTAGGGTTTAGGTCCGGGGTTTGGGTTTTGGGGTATCTTGTCGTATATTGCATTAAGGAACCGTAAGGAAAAGTGTTGCAAATTCTTCAGGAGTCTGTATTAGTCCTGCAATCCCTCGAACAGAGCCCCAGCGCAAGATCTATGGAACCCTGATGACAGCCCAAACCCTAAATCCTTCAACCCCAGCATTATTGGGCTTTTGGTAACCTTGATTGCGGCTGAGCGACTCAGAATATTAGTTAAAATTTGGTTTGGTGGTACATGGACGCAAAAGTTTGCAGGGCAGGAAGTCTTAGAAGCGGGGATGCTATCACTGTTCTTGTATATTTCCACCTGGAGCACTGAGATGGGCCTGGCAGTCTGGCTTTACATGCAGGCGGCGCTGACCTTCGGTAAAGCCGAGAACAGAGGGTGTCATAATGGTTCTACAAGGGCTTTGCAAGGGGCTTTTCAAGCTTTACAGGCTCTTCGAGGCTTAGGGTTTAGGGGTGTTTCGGGCTCAGGATTTAGGGTTGAGGCTTTGGGGATTTGATAAGAGACTTGAAAGTCCAGATAAGCTGTGGTTGCGGATAACATTCCGATTTATTGAAGGACCCTGGCGGACGGGCATGGCACAGTGAAGTTGAAAACGGCTGGAAAGATCTCAATGTTCATACAAGGCTGGGGATCACTTCGAAAGTGTTTCGTCGGTTTGGTAGTGACTAAGGCTTGACTAAGGTGGGTCTCGGGCCTGAGCATTGGGGGCGAAAAAGTTCGACAGCTCAAATCTGCATGGCATTGCTCCCACACAGGATTCAGACAGGAGCAGATTTCCAGCTTGCCCAGCCTTGTGAAAAACTCTTGCCTGCTATCTCTGGACATGCTCTAATTCCTTAATAAAGCTCTGAGGTGGAGACCGTACGTCCGCAGGTCGTAGTGCCCACGAAAGTCGGATCCTCCCCAGAAGTGGACGTTGAGGGTTCAGAGATTTTAGGATCAGCGGTTTATAGAGGGTTTAGTTTTGGGATTGAAAGGTTTGGGGTTCAGGGGTTCATAAAGGTTTAAGTTGAAGCCAGGGCTTCATAGAGAGGTTTAAGTTTCGAAGTTTAGGGTTCAGCGGTTCCTAGGGTGTTTAGGTGTTAAAGATTTAGGGTTGAGGGGCTTAGGCATTTTACAAGGCCGCAGCCGGTTGAGTTCAATCGGGAGCCTGATTGAAGATTGAAGATTTGCTGGAAAACTTTCCCCGGGAATCTTCAATCTTCAATCTCATGACAAACCGATAAAGATCTCACAACCACAAAAATGGACACCAGGAATCTGAACATAGTTATCTTTGAATAAAGCATAAACAGAAATACAAAACTCTCTCTCTCTCTCTCTCTCTCTCTAACTGTATATATATACATATACATACATATATGGACTGTATAGGTAGATAGAAAAAATACATGTAAGCCACGCCTCCCCTGTCTCATCCAGTTACTATACCCTTCCTGCGATTTCACACTCAAGCAGAATTTGCGACACAAACCCAGTCAAGATTAGGGTAATCGTTTCCTTGTCCAAGGATGGTCACCGGCTGGAAGAGTGTTCAGAATGGCAAGAGCAGCTATCATATGCATGTTGCAACAGCTATCACCACAATTGCCTCTGCAAGAACAAGAAAGCTTAAAGCTTCATGTCCCTCGTGGCTCCGATTTCTGGACCGTAAGCCTCGCAACGTTCCTCCTAAATCCTGAGCCCAAACGCTTCACCCTGACCAATTGAACCTGCACTCTGAACCCTAAACCTCCAGAACCCTGAACCCTCAATCCTACTGCAGGGGTTTTTACAAAAACCGTGAGAATAAGGTTGTTAGGATACAATGGGGGAGATATTATGATAATGAAAGAAGACACAGAAGCAACCCTGAGGTTTAGTAATGCATTCCTTTATTCAGGTTGTATGCTACATCCTAAATCCTAAACTTACCCTGAACCCCTATGAAACCCATGAACCCCGAAACCCCCCCCAAAAAAAAAAAGGTAAAACCCTAAACCCTGACTGCTTACATCCTAAAGCCCCGAGAAGGGGCCACACCTCGCTGCGGCCCGGGTTGTCCTTGCCAATCTGGAGCCTGGGATTCAAACCATTGCTTTGGGGTTTCGGGTTGTTTGCTTTAGTGTGGGTCCTGGGGTTTGAACCTTTGATTTTGGGTTTAGGCCGGTTTAGGCAGTTTCATATAGTTGTATACAGGGCCGTAAACTGTTTTATAAGGGGTTGCGCACTGGGTTTGTGATGGGAATATTGCTGGGGGGGGTTAGAGCGGAGGGTAAGGAATTTGGGGCTTGGGGTTTGGAGCCTAAGGTTAGGACCTTCGCGCTTAGTGCTCTTGTTTGCGTTCAGGGTGTAGGGCTTTTAGGGGTTGGACCGAGTTTCGGTGTTGGGCTTCGGAATGACTGTCATGATCATGATGACGATGTTGGGGCGATCCTGTGATGATGATAACACTTGACTAAGCAGCGCATGGCTTGACAACGCGGGTTTCCTCGAAGACGAAGAACTTGAATCGCCATCGTCGTATATACATATATATATATACACACACATGTAAGTTGGGCGGCAACTTAAGCGGGGAACGCCTACCAGCGGGGATGGGGCGTACCTAGAGGCTCGGACCGGGTCCGATTTTCACAGGGGTCATTTTTGAAGACTGCGGAGTGGTCCACTTTGCATGTTCATAGCGAAATCCATACCGAAATGAGGAACCGTGGATCGAAGGTTTTTGTTTTGCGAAGCCTTGATATGAAGTCGTGCATCATGGTTTGGAGAAGCTGTTCTTTTAAAGGTTTCCATGCGAAGAGGGCCTTGTGTTACCGTGCGGGCCAATGCAAAGTCTTTGCTGCAAAAATCTTGAACAGGCTGGCTGGCCTTGTGAGCTTCCTTGATAAATCGACCAACATGTCTGTAGGGTTGGCACTGGACGTTGTTAAAGCAAAGCAAGCGTGTGTCAT